CCCCGCGCCCCGGCCCCAGGCGGCGGCCAGTGCGGGCCGGGGGACTGCCAGCGTTGTCGTGGGCAACCGCCTTCGTCCCCTCCCCGTCCGCAGGAAAACGGGGACTGGGGAGGATGAAGAGGGGGGAAAGGTGGGGAGGCGGGAGACCAGGCGGTGAGAGGAGGTCTAAGGCAAGTCGAGAACGCAGTTCACCAGGCTCCGAGGCCCGAGAGCAGGAGCTGCAGGTGCCCCAAGATAAGGGCGTACGGGTTTGGGGGCGGGGAGATGGTGCTCAGCGCCCTCCCGGCGGCGGCGGCAGCGGAGAACGCGGCAGAGGGACCAAGGGGAAGGATTTCGTTTCCTAGACTTCCCCCAGGGTGGGGAAGGTTGCAGCCTACGCTTCCTCAGACCCATACCCTTCCCTTTGCTCCGCCAGCCATAACAACACCCACTCTCCACGGTCCCAGGGATCCCCCTCCCTTCCCTGCTCGTCTTACCTGGGGGGCGCTTTTTTGCACACAATGCCATCTCACCCAGCAAAGTCCCAGCAATCCCATGGGAGACCCTGCGGGAAGAAGACAGGCAGGTGAGGTCCGTAAACTGAGGGGCCCCCTCCTGGAGGGTCTCTTCCCCAGCTCTGATCCTGCTGATCGCCCAACCAATTCCACAGCAACAGTCTTCTCTTACTGCCCTGATGGGTCCCTGAGAAAAAAGAGGGGGTCCCCCTGCCACCTCCCGCCATGCCTCTGCCATGGAGAGACTCACAGTTTACAGAAGCTAAGGCCCGCAGGAAAGTGAAGGGGGCAGAGAGAAGAGGCCCGATATTAACAGGAGGGACACAGCTCTGCAGATACCCATCCCAGGGGCAATGGATGCTCCCATGAACCCTCCTGGTGGCAATGAGCAGTGCCTACGTTTACTAGAAAGCAAAGTTTCCCCCAAAGGGTAAGGCTGAGGGGACATGGGCCAGGAAACACCTGGTAGGGCATCAGGAAACAGGGAGGGCAGGCTCCACCCTTCTCGAAATGCTTGCATCACCCTTGCCCGCACCCCCATTACTGGGACCTCCATTATCCTCTCCTCCAGCGGAGCTCACATTAGAAGTGTGGCCCTCACTTCCTGCACAGACCGTCCCCACACCGCTTCCTCTCAGGCTGGGTTGGCTGCTCTGTGGGCCAGCAAAGAGGTCTTCCCACCCCTGGCAGGGAGTCGCCCCCTCCTCCTTTCCCATCCTATCCCTTGTCCTGTCAGTATGGCACCCAGTGCAGGCTCAGGGAGCATCTGTCAGGCAGGCCTCTGCTTCTTTCCACCTTCCCATGTCCTTTTCTCTTTGTCCTGAAAAGGTAAAAGAGCTGGCCTACAAGACAGGGTCACAGAGCCTCATCCCTAATTCCCCAGCCTGGCCCAAAGGAAACTGCCAGCCAAGTGCAGGGTCCTTTTGTCACCTTCTCTCTGTCCCGGGGGAATGCCTTCCTCTTCCTCCTCCTCCTCCTTCATTCCCCTCTCTCCAGCCTACTAGGCACACCCCAACAGCCTGTCAGCCCCAAAGATACTAATTGCCTGTCCACCCAACCTCTATAATTACAGACTCTGGCCACAGCCCAGTCACCCACACCATGTTCTCCCTTCACTAGCTCAGACTCTCTCCCTGAACTGAACCCCAGATCAGACAATACCGAGAGCCCGAAGGCCTTTTCCTCCCTGGCCCTCCCCACTTCTGACAGCCGATGCTGCCTGGCTCAGGAAGAAATGCCTCATCCACATTTTAGAGATGCCAAGCCCTCCTCCAGGGCCCCCAGCCAGGGTCTCCACCCAGTCTAGAGTATGAGTCATGGGAGGGTGGAGTGAGAAACGAGAGGTTAAAGGAGAGGATGCAAGGGTTGGCATCTCTGAGTTCCGTAGCCAGCCCTGACCTCGGGGAGGGAGGGAATCAAACACCATCACCTCGAAGATCTGGGTTTGAGTCCTGTGAGTTAATGAAGCAGCCACACATGCTTTCAGGAGTCTGGACACCGACCAGGAAAGTTGTTTTACCTCCAAGACCCTGGAGAGACTGTAAGCTGTCTTGGCTCCAGACTTCACCCCCTCTAGGGGGCTGTAACAGGAAGGGAAGGGGAGGAGGAGACCTGGGAACAGGGAGCCCCCACTTCTCCTTTCCAGTCTCACACAGCTTGAGGTTTCTGACGGGTCAGGCCCATGAGCCACGTTGCCTGCCCGGTTACCCTGCCCCAGCCCCCTCTGCAGCCACGTTTGGGTTAAAAATAGCCAGCCCTGAGATGGAGGCATTGCCCCCACGGAAGAAAACGTCTCCTCCTCAAGGCCTGGCCCCTGCTCCTTGCCACCAAGATCCCCCCCACCCCCGGCCCCAAGCCTGATCCGTTCTTTCAGAGGAGCCTGGCAGGGACATGTGTGGGCAAGGGAGCAGGAAGAAATGGAACCCGAGACCCCCAGCTCACTCGGCATCACCTCCACTCCCCAGCCACCTGCCATCGCCAAGGACAGCACCCAAGACTCCCTCCACAGCTCTGCGCCCACGGTCTCAAGTGGGGTGGGTGTTTCATCAGCTCAGAAACCTCCACCTCCGAGACAAAGCCTACCAGTCCCAAACTCCCTTCCCCGGGCACACAAACCTCAGAGGCGGCTACTCCGCCCTGCCCACCCTTCCCAGCCCCATCGCTCTCCCGGGCGGCTCTCCCGTCTCCGCGGCTCCACAAGCTGCTCCGCGCCATCGCGCGCCCTTTCAGCACCCCATCCTCCTCTTCGGCGGACAGCTTCCCCATCTCCCCACCTCCTCAGGCACCCCGACATCACCTCCCTCCAATCACCT